AAAAAAAAAAATGCTTTTTATCACGTATTGTTATTTTCTTCTTGAGTTTAGTTATATTGTATTTTATTACTGTCATTATTCCGCATCAGAAAGTATTAAATGGTAAAATTAATGGGTCAATGTCAAAGATATTAAACAAGATTCATATTTGTACATACTATGATGTAACTTTCTATATGTTATTAAGTAAATGTGTTTAGAAATGGTATTATTTAATTTGTTCTCTGGTTAATTGTATCATTCTATAAATCGTTATTACCTGCAGTATAAAAATATATTTATTCAAGATACATTTATATATTTATTATGCAAATTTTACAGTTTTATGTGCCCGTAATCTTGCCAGAAAAGATCTGTTTCGTGAGTATTTTTTATTTTTCAAAAGGAATAAAAACCATAAAGAAGTATTTTATTGAAAGGAAAAAATTTATTTCAGGTCTACCGGACCCTTTTGCTAAAATAACTGTTGATGGTTCAGGTCAGTGTCATAGTACACATACGTGCAAGGCAACTCTAGATCCTATGTGGAATCAACATTACGACCTGTAATTATTTTTTAACCATAATAGAGCACAATTTTCTATATGAAAACTATATAAATTTTCAATATTTTATAGGTATATTGGAAAAGATGATGGTATTACAATATCAGTTTGGAATCACAAGAAAATCCATAAAAAGAAAGGTGGAGGATTTTTAGGATGTGTACGAATATTGTCTAATACAATTCAAAGACTGAAGGATACAGGATGTAATTATTATTTTTTATGTATACTATACAATTTTTACTGTTGGTTTTACAATGTTTAATAGAATTTGATTATTTTATAGATCAGCGATTAGATCTTTGCAAAGCACATTCAGATGATACAGATGTAATTAAAGGAGAAGTTGTAATATCTCTTTTATCACGAGATGGTCACAATGGTGCTGTGAGTAATACAGTGGGTCATAATGCTGTAGTTGATGTTCTTGGAGATTTGAGCTGTCCAACTGATTTGCCAGATGGATGGGAAGAAAGAAGAACTCGAAGTGGGAGATTATACTATGTTAATCACTATACTAGAACTACACAGTGGA